TTTGTGAATCTTTTGCTGTATCTAATTTAAGCTTTATCATAGGTATGTTATGTATAGAAAAGAAAAACAGCATATATAGCATTCAGTACTATCCACAGTTTTAAGCATCTACTGGGGATCTTGGGATTTATCCCCAGCAGGCAAAGGCAGGGGATTTATTGCATTCTCCTTGTGGACCGAAAAACTCTGTGTTTTTATAGCTCTATTCCAAAATTCCTAGCATAATGCAAAAGGATTTATTCATACCCTGGCCTCACTCCCTACATCCTTTAAAACTGTGCTCTAAGTCACTGTTAAGGTTTAGATATGAAGTATCTCCCAAAAGCTCATCTATGAGACAATACAAGAATGTTCAGAGGTGAAATGATTAATTAATTGAAAGAATTAACTGGATGGTAACAAACGGGTAGGGTTTGGCTGGAGGAGATGGGTTGCTGGAGGCATGACTTTGGGGTATATAATTTGTTTCTGGTACACAGAATCTCTCTTTCTGCTTCCTAACTGTCATGTTCTGAGCTGCTTTCCTTCGCCACACCCTTCCACCATCATGCTCTGCTTCACCTTGAGCACAGAGCAATGGAGTCCGCTGTCTATGGACTGAGTCCTCTGAAACAGTTGAGTCCCCAAATAAACTTGCCCTCTCTAATTATTCTTATCAGGTCTTTTGGTCACATAAGTGAAAAAAACTGACCAAAACAGTTACCTATAGACATTTTGATTTTGGAGATGACAAGAAAGAAATCACTGAATAAAACCATCAGCTTAGCTTGCAGGTAGGTCATAACAACCTACATTTTACATAAATGAGACAGAAAGTCAACTGATTTCATTCAGGGTCCTGCTGCTACATCTTCCATAACCTCCCCTAGGCTAACATACCTGAGCCCCTTACCAACTCTGGCTTTGCTTGCTTTTATAATTCTACAGATGGTTCTTCAAAATCATACCACTTACACATCTGCTTGTTTTGTGCTACCTGAGAGCTTCTGTATTCCTTTTGTTCATTTTAAGGAAGCGAGATATACTTCCAAGAGGGTGTGCATATTTTAATGCACTCCAACACTGATTGGGCATGCATTTAGTATCACTAAGATTCTCAGTCTCTGTTTTTCTCCTTATACACACAATTTATAGAAAGTACAGCTCCTCCAGCTCTCATATTGCCACACTGTGGAGCACAGGCTCAGGCTTAGAGTATATAGATATTAGAAAACAAAATGGTACAGCTATAGTTAATTTCTGCTAAGTGGAATACAAATCATTTTTATAACACTATAAAAAGTATCATCAAAAACCACTGCTAATGCATTAGAAGGCTATAAGCAACTTCACAATATAAAAGTTTTATCAATGTGGTCACTAGACTCCCCCTCCCATCCCATATTACTCCTATAAAACTGGATCTAGAAAATAGCCACTAGCCAATCCATCTTTCCATGCTCCCAGAACTCTTCTCCTAGAAGCCCTATGCTACAACTTTGACAATCAGTTCTGACAAAGTCCCAGTTTAGCCTACCCAGAAACACAAGGCCTAGCTCACTCAAACATTCCACAAATATTTCTGAGGATCCCAACTATATGCCAGCCACTATACTAATACTGGAATTATAATGATGGAAAAGATGTTGTTCTGCCTGCAAAGAGTTTAAAGATTAGTTGGGGAGATAAGCAGAGGCAGCACAGGGACCTACACAAGAAGGTTTGGGCACAATGGAGTGCAGTGGAAAGGACACTCAACAACAAGAAGCCTCAGTTTTAACTCAGTTTCCTACTATTCCAGCAGTCTAAGATTGGCAAACCATGTTCTCTCTTTGGGCTTTAGTCTTCCCATCTAAAACAAACAACAAAAAAGGGGTTGATAAGGGCTGGGGCTGTAGCTCAGTGGCAAAGTGCTTGCCTAGCATGTGTGAGGCACTGGGCTTGATCCTTAGCACCGAATAAAAAATAAAAACAAAATAAAGGCATTCTGTCCATTCATAACTACAAAAAAAGGTTGAATAAGATTGTATGTCAGATCCTTTTTGATATGTCATGAATCCATTTTTCAAAAAATGACAAAAAAATAGCAGCAGCACCAGCAATAATACTAAAGGTTTATCATGTGCCAGAAATCTTGCTAGGTACCATTTATTTATGATACACTTTTTGTGTGGCAGTATTGTCATTACTGTATCACTTGTTTTTCAAACTAGAAAGATGGCAGATTTGACTATATTTCTTTTTATGGTTACACCATATTTCCAAGAACAATCTGAATCTATTTAAAGTAAAAGATCTATAAAAACTAAATTTCAGTGGAGTAACAGAGACCACTTAGCAAATGTAAAAAGGGTACAAAAAAAAATACATTTTTTAAAAAAATTTCAGGCCATGTTGGAAAGGCACAGTGACTGAACTAATCCCAATACTAAATTGACAGCCAAAGCATTGAGAAAAATGCAACTGGATATGGAGCTCTTGTGGAACAGAAAAACAGTAACTCAAAAAGATTTTCCTGACTGAGCCTTAAGAAGAATTTGCCCTCTTGGTTTTAGTTTGATTTTGGTGGGGAAGATAGGAATGAGGCAAGAAGGGAAACAAATTTTTTGAAATGATTTAATAAGCTAAACCAGTTTTCAGTTAGCTAAAATGAAAATTTAACTTTACAATTATACAACCATTTACTATTCAAATTAATTTTTTCAACTAACAAATATTTTGAGATTAACCTAGAATTGATCCTGGATTAACTATAATTCTATTGGCCTATTTAAAATAAGTTTCCTTTTCAAAGGGCTACAGAACTTTATCAAGTGACTACAAAGCCCTCTTTGAATTTTTAAAGTAAAAATTAGCTGATCTGCTGGCAAGACTCACAGCCAGAATCTATTGATATATTTTTTCAAAATAATATTCCTATCATTCATGCCTATTCACTATTACCCTCATGCTTTTATGCTTAAGAAAAGTTCATAAAGTAGGTATGAAAAACAAATGGTAGGGATTGGGGCTGTAGCTTAGTGGTAGAGCACTAAATAAACAAATAAAGGCATTCTGTCCATTTACAACTACAAAAAAAAATTTTTTTAAATGGCAGATTCATTTGATTCAAATACACTTATTAAAAACTTAAGTTTTTTACATATGATCTCTTTTCAGAAAAAACTTGCAGAGAAAACTTATTCTTTGGTTGTTGCTTAACAGAAAAAAATATATATTTGAAATATTAAAAACTATGAACAGTGCTTAACTTTTATTGTGGTAAAATATACATAAAATTTACCATTTTAACTATTTTAAAGTTGTAATTACATTATTGTACAACCACCACCAATTGAATTATTTTTAAATATGTCTATTATGCTGGATTTTCTTGTCAGCACTAACAATTCCATATTGTTCTCCTAAAAATAATCTGTAACTGAAACTTAACATTTTCTTATCTAAGGAAAAAAGTACATTATAAATAAGAGATACAATTTATAGTATTATCATAATTGATTTTCCCACCTAAGGTTTCTATGACATCAGAAAAGTATTTCACTAAAGGATAACTCTACCAACTAAATTCAGCTATTTTTTTTAAAGCCATGTTTATTCAGCATATAATCAGGATATTAAATTTAGCAATCAACAGCATGGGTGCCAAAAAAAACCCTACATCAAAACCCTTTGCTGGAAAGCTTTACATGTTCCACAGAACAGAAACTAAAATAATCTGTTATACGATTAGTCCTAAACACAGTCCTTGAAGGTTATTTGCCTACACACATGAGTTTTGTCTAAAATGTGTCTTCCTAGTAGCAGTTAAGCCCTACCACCATGGTGCCTGGCTGAGTTGAACAACTGGCTGTAACCTCTTGCTTCCCTGTCACTTCTCTGGCTCGCCTCTCCCGCTAAGCTTTGAGTCAAAAAAATTAAGACCTTCTGCCACTACCATGGATGGCTACTGCGGTTGCTGGAACTGCTACAGCCACGTTGATTTCAGGATTTGACAAAGTACTTTTTTGCCTCCACCACAATAGGGGCTAGAGCTTCTGCAGTCAAAGTTTCCTCCCTCATGGGTCCAAAATTCAGACTGATTGTTGTTAACTACCAAACCATGGTAGCTACCACCAGCTCCAAAATTGCTTCCATCATTACCAAATTCACTGTAGCCACCTCCACTGACATTATATACACCACCACCATGGCTGTCACCAAAGCCACAGGATCACTGCAATTTCCTCAAAACCAAGTTGTCATTATCAATGAAACCACCTCCACAGCCATCACCAAAGTTTCTAGAATGACTTCAACCTCTTGTGCTGATAGGAAGGAGGAGCTGAACCCTAGGGATGAAGGTAAGCAATGCCAGCTTTAAACAAAAAAAAGACAACAAACTAAAGATTGTGCCTTTGCATTTCTTTTTTAAAACAGAGTATGGCACATAGTATCTGCTTTTTCCAAAACATCTACTGAATAAATGATTCCTTCCTTCCATCCTTTCCATCTAGCCCTTCATTATCCCTCCAACATCCAGCATTCAGCATCCATTCAGTTTCTCCCTAGGGCCTGCGAAATCTAAAGGATCAAGAGGTTTGTTGATAAGGGTCTTAAAACTTTTCAGTCCACTTTCCTGAAACCCATGAAAATACAGTTAGACCTAGAAATTGAAAAATAAAATCAACTCTGAATTCATTTCCTACTGAGTTTTTTAAGTTCAGAGGGAGAATCCATGGCTACTGTCAGAGTGAATAAGATTTTGTTATTGTATTTTCCCAGGATAAAAGATTTAAACTTTGCAGGAGAAATTAGCATAATTCTACCTTAAAGATGTGACAAATGGGTAAATATTATTTTTCTTTGAAAATTCAGATCGACCCTTTCTGATTCATATTTAAAAATCCAATTCCCACCTCTTTTTACCCCTTCCACCTCCCCACAAAATAGCTACAACAAATACATTTGCTCTCCCAGTTCCTTTTGTCTCACACCCCAAAATGGAAGAATCCTGACTGAATTCAGTATCAGTTTCTTACCCTGCCAGGAAAGCTAAGGAGTAGGAGTTGTTCTTGGAAACAAATGCCGAGCGATGTGTCTGTATCATCTGGCCTCCAGAAGGTTCTTCATTCTCTGAATCTGAGAGACGTGCAGGACACTGTCAAGGAGACAAGGGAGACAAGGGAGTCCATGTGGGGTTCCTGTGGAACCTAACCTTGCTTTGTTTCAAAGCTCTTGTTCTCTAAGTCTTTTTAAGTTTCAATCTGTTTTCCAAATGCCTCCTAGGGATCCCAATCTCAAATGTAGCTTAAATTCAATAGATCCAACATCAAAATCACTGTTTTCCCCACCACCAATCCATCTAAAAAACCTCAATCTCATCTATGATTCTTTTATTTCCCTTACTTCTAAGTCATAATAACATCTGTATAAAGGTCTTGGTATTCCAATACTTCTAAATATTTATTTTATTAATTATTTATATCAGTCCCATTAAAACAGATTATTATCTGTCACTGATGGCTAACAAGGTCAGAGTAGCTAATTTGCCTAGATTAGGATTATACAGTTTATGAATGGCTAAAAAAGGTTCCTAAATTCAGAGCAACAGTCTCTGAGCAATTTATACTCTACTACTAAAATGTCTCTCAAATCTAACTCCTTCCATTTATACAGATTGGCATTGCCTTACTTTATCATCATCATCTTTGCTTCAACTATTACAATAATGTATTTACTGGTCTCACTTCCTTCAGGTTTTCTTTCCTTGAACACCCTTCATACTACCAAGAATTATCCTTCCAGCACATGAATTCTCTCACATCCTTGCTTAACTGTTGGTGATCTCAGGATGAAGGCTAAACACTCAGCATGATTCAATAACGTTCATAACCTAGACCCAACATTCTTTCACATTTTTTCCCCACCAGTTCCTCATATGAAACTCCATGAACTCAAAAAAAAAAAAAAAAAAAAAAGAAACTCCATGAACTCCAGTCCAATCAAACTGCTTTCACTCTTTATATGTACCATAGCCTTTCAAAACCATTGTTTTATATTTCCTTTTCCTAAATTCCCTATCTGCATTCTTTGTCAATAAAAATACTTATCGGTCTTTCAGAGTCATCTGAAAGGCTACTTTCTCTACAAAGGCTCTCAAATTCCTCTAGACTTGGTTTTATCTACCTTGTCTATATTCATTCATTTATCTTCATTTTCCTTTGTAGTCCTTTTTTAGACTTTTTCTATTCACATTTGAAGTATTTTATTTTTAAATACACCTTCTGCATACAACATATAGTGAGGTTGTATGTCATGATTTCATATGAGACTCTTTTCATGAGTAGCTGAATTGTAGCTTCTTATTTAGGAGTCATTCTTCATTAGACAATAAACTGTAAGAGCAAGTGACCACCTTTTCAAAAAATTTCCTATACTACTATATAGTAGGTAAACAAAAAAATCTAATCATCTAATGATTAACTCTCTCTGATCAAATGATTACCAAAGTGTAAGTTACACACATAGGTATGCCAGGCATCATGTGGGTCACAGTGCTCTGCATTCCTTAAACACACTGTTACTCTCTAGTCTGGTATACACAATAGGCTATGTCTCCTAACAGTGGCCTTTGAGAGAAGAGTTGAAGGATTACAACTCACAGAGAGGCCTTTCAGTTTCAAAGGATATAATTCCTTAGAGAATTCTACTGCCCAAAATATTCACTGCAGAAACTTTAACAGCACTGACCCAATATCAAATTTGATATGATATTGTCCTCTGAACTTTGGAAAAAAGAAAAAGCTTTGATACCAATAATAATAAATAATGGCAATTCCTATTTGGGCATCTCTTTGTAATCAGATCAGTATTAAATTAAAGACTTCAAATCTTGGCTCTATTACTTGCTATCACCATCAATGTAGGTTAGGTGTTTTATCTTTCTGAGCCTCAGTTTCCTAATGTATAAAATTGATTGTTCTACTTAGTTTCTGATAAGCCAATAAAAGTACCTCATACATTAGCAAACAAATACTCAAAAAAGATATTTATTTATTAATTTAAGTACTATTAATATTTTTAAAATTTTAGTTTTATAGCAAATATTCAAGTTTATTTTAATTGTTGAAAATAAATTTAATTATTATAAATAAGTATCTATTTAGACAAAAGCTATGCTACCCCTACACATTTCTACAACCAAAATACCTTGAACCTTGAGAGAAGAAAATATTTACCTCTCATCTTTCCCTTAGATAAAAGTTAATTTTGGGGAAGGGGAGTTTACAGAGAAAGTGACCTTTAATATGACTCTGAAAGGTCAATGAATAGTTTATAGGCAGAGAATGAAGATAGGGAATTTTAGACAAAAGTAATAGCCTGTCCAAAAGAACAGTTCTGAAAGCTCTGGTACATGTAAAGAGTGGAAAGTTGTTTGGTTGTGCTAGAGCTCATGGAGTTCCAGTGAGAAACGGAGAGGAGAAAAGCAATGACCGAAAGTTGGATCTAGATTGTGAAGGTTACTGTATAAAGCACTGTGGATTCTTAAAAGGGTACAAAGCATGCATAAATGGAACTCCTGCAGCAACATGTAAAAAAAATGTTGAACCTAAAAAAATTAAGAGACTGAGCCAGGCACAGTGGCACATGCCCATGATCCCAGTGGCTAGGAAGCTGAGGCAGAATTATAAGTTCAAAGCCAACCTCAGCAACTTATCCAGGCCCTAAGCAAGTTATAAAGACTCTGTCTCAAAATAAAAATAAAAAAAATAAAAAAGGCAGAGGATATGGCTCAGGGGTGAAGCACCCCGAGTAGACAAAGAGTGAGGAAATTAGTTTAATACTCTCCTGTACTACTGGAAGTAGTGTAATTATATACAAACTAGTCTAGAGGCCAAATGAGTAATAAATATTAAAAATGTTAAAAAGTATATTTCCTTTGACCTGGTCATTTCACTTCTGGCCATTTATTTCTAAGGTACTAATAAGACAAATGGATTTCATCACAATGGTATTTAAGATAGCAAAATATCAACAGATTAATTTAGTTAAATAAACTCTACAGTCAAGAATACTAGGAGAGGGTTAAATCTCCAGAATCACACACACATAAAAAAAAAATACTGGAAAAAAAAAAAAAGAATACTGGGAGATCATTAAATAATGATGTAGATTCTTAATTTACAGGGAAAGATGTCTACAATTTATAGTTAACAAAAAATAGGTTATAAAAGGGCTGCATTTTCTGGAAAGGCAATAACATATAGTATGTATATCATGCATGCAGAAAAGAGTTCTGAACAGATATTTACCAAATGTTTATAAGGATTACTTCTAGGTTATACATAGTGATTTTTCACTTTTGCTTTATGATCTTTAGTGTAACAGTACCTATACTGAATCTTTTTCCAACAACTCATACTATTATTGGATTAGCTTCACCATAACAAATTATAATAAACATTGTGTCTATTTTATTTCCATTCTGAAAAAAATAACACCACATGATAATCTCTCTCCATCTAAGTTGTATTGCATAAACATATTATCAAAATCTTGTCATGTACAAGGTACTTCAGGACACTTAAAACCTGGTAAGACATATCCCAACAAATTTGTGGTCCCACAGAGAAATACAAACACACACACAAAAAAACACAATGCAAGGGAGAATGAAATACTTTCTGTAAGTTACAAAGTGTGGGGGCAAAGAAGGGAGGGTGAATGACAGAATTGGAGAAACAGGTAAGGAATCCCTTTAGCTTCCATGAAGGTGACTACTTTTGAACAGGACATAGGGAGTTGAATAGCCTTTCAACAGGTAGGATGGTGACAATGCACCTTGAAGAGAGAAAGCACAGCGTATATATTTTGGAGAAAGCAAATACCTCTGTTCCCTAGAGTTTTGGGAAATAATCAAGGATGGAAAGATAATCTAGAATCATAGTTAAAGAAGGACCTAAATACTGGGGTGAAAAATTCTCATTTAATTCCATGGAAAAAATGAAGTCACTGAGGTTCTGATTAGGAGAATGATATGATCAGTCCAGCTCTAATCAGAATAATACTTATATAAAAAAAGAATCACTGAATCATTCGGGCTGGCTTTCCTCTGGGACCACTGGAGATTCTCTTGTGTTCCAATTTGAATATAGCCTTGGCTAACTAAATGAAATTATTTACCCAATACCAAAACTCTTTAAAACATATTTAAAGTACAATTAGGATCATTTAAAAGTCCTCAAAAATATAAAAGTAAACAGGAAAAAAGGCAAAAATCTAAAACCTTAGGTTAGATTTTATTCATTGTGGTTTTGCAAGGAAAATTTTGTGAAGCTGGCTACTACCAATAAAGGAATCTGAGAATTTGTACTTTCTTATTCCTTTTAAGATTTCAATTAGGTTGATGCACTGGCTTTCTAAATGAAAAATAGTAGTGGTAAAAGAAAATATAATTAGAGCAAATTCCCAGTCTTGGCATGCATTAATATTAGATCAGTTCTTAGAGAAAAGCTGAATCTGGCAGGCCAGGCACAGTCAGCTCTTTCTGTCAGAGGACTATGGTGAAGAATAACTCTATCAAGGCTGGTTTGGGGCTCCAAATTCCTCAATAGGCCACCCATAGCACAAGAGTTAATAACTAGAATCAACAAATGGGACTTACTCAAACTAAAAAGTTTTTTCTCAGCAAAAGAAACAATAAGAGAGGTAAATAGGGAGCCTACATCCTGGGAACAAATCTTTACTCCTCACACTTCAGATAGAGCCCTAATATCCAGAGTATGCAAAGAACTCAAAAAATTAGACAATAAGATAACAAATAACCCAATCAACAAATGGGCCAAGGACCTGAACAGACACTTCTCAGAGGAGGACTTACAATCAATCAACAAGTACATGAAAAAATGCTCACCATCTCTAGCAGTCAGAGAAATGCAAATCAAAACCACCCTAAAATACCATCTCACTCTAGTAAGATTGGCAGCCATTATGAAGTCAAACAACAACAAGTGCTGGCGAGGATGTGGGGAAAAGGGTACACTTGTACATTGCTGGTGGGACTGCAAATTGGTGCAGCCAATTTGGAAAGCAGTATGGAGATTTCTTGGAAAGCTGGGAATGGAACCACCATTTGACCCAGCTATTCCCCTTCTCGGTCTATTCCATAAAGACCTAAAAAGAGCATGCTACAGGGACACTGCTACATCGATGTTCATAGCAGCACAATTCACAATAGCAAGACTGTGGAACCAACCTAGATGCCCTTCAATAGACGAATGGATAAAAAAAAAAATGTGGCATTTATACACAATGGAGTATTACTCTGCATTAAAAAATGACAAAATCATAGAATTTGCAGGGAAATGGATGGCATTAGAGCAGATTATGCTAAGTGAAGCTAGCCAATCCCTAAAAAACAAATGCCAAATGTCTTCTTTGATATAAGGAGAGTAACTAAGAACAGAGTAGGGAGGAAGAGCATGAGAAGAAGATTAACATTAAACAGGGACGAGAGGTGGGAGGGAAAGGGAGAGAGAAGGGAAATTGCATGGAAATGGAAGGAGACCCTCAGGGTTATACAAAATTACATACAAGAGGAAGTGAGGGGAAAGGGAAAAATAATACAAGGGGGAGAAATGAATTACAGTAGAGGGGGTAGAGAGAGAAGAGGGGAGGGGAGGGGAGGGGGGATAGTAGAGGATAGGAAAGGCAGCAGAATACAACAGACACTAGTATGGCAATATGTAAATCAATGGATGTGTAACTGATGTGATTCTGCAATCTGTATACGGGGTAAAAATGGGAGTTCATAACCCACTTGAATCAAAGTGTGAAATATGATATATCAAGAACTATGTAACGTTTTGAACAACCAACAACAAAAATTAAAAAAATAATAATATCATAATTAAGAATGTGGATATTTTAATAATCACAGGAAGTTTTGAAAATAAATTTCAAGAGTACAGAGAGTAAAATATTAAGCATGTTCAGTGGAACTTGTTAGGATTTCAGTTCTTAATCTAATATTGATTAGACCTTCTCTCATAATTTTTGATCTGTCTCAAATCCTGGCAACTAGTTGAAATAATATAAAATGTGAGCCTTCTTGGAAGCATGACAGACTCTCTCCAAAGCCACATGCCTTTTGCATCAGTTATCATTTGGTGACTGCTGCAATTATCAAGCTCAGATTATCTCTAATTCTGTACCAGCATTCTTCTCACTTTAAAAAGAAAGAGTTTGTGAAATGTAGTGATTGAGTCTAAGAAGTGGTTCTAGATTAGTCATTAGTATCTTTTAAGTTTCTCCCTGTTATTCCCTTAGAGATATAATCAGATCTGATGCTCTTCAGCAAAGTGTTCAGGAATTATTCATATATTCTGTTTCCAAAATTTATTTTTAAAATGATGGTACTTGAAATACACTGGTAACCGAATAAACAAGCACAGAACAGGAAAAAAAAAAAAAAAAAAGAATTGCTGAATAGAGGATTTTCTTCAGGGGTAAACCACTTCATGTCTGAAGTCATGTTCAATATCCAGCATTGAAAAATGAATAAACATACATACATAAATACAAAAGTATTACTTTATGTCCTAATAGTCATTTGCATTATTGCCAGGAACAACAACAAAAAAATCATTACTTAAAAAAATTTGACTTAATATCTACCATATCATGAAGTAATTGCTAGTATTATTATTTATCCAATTTTATGGATGAGAAAACTGAGAATAAGCAGTCTAAGTCAGTTTATCATAGTTACAAATTAGGTATTTGGAAGACCTGGTACTAAAACTCACTTTTGCCCAACTCTACAACAAAAAACTAAAACCTCTTCAAGGAAAGAACATGAAGTCAGATGTTCTAGTGTGGATTTGGTAACTGTAAATCCTGTACAAGTTTGTTCCTCATTAGTTTCCCTCAACTTCTTGATATAAAAGTGAAAGCTTTCTTGTAAGAATGTTGCAACAGGGCTGTAGGTATAGCTCAGTGGTAGAGCTCTTGCCTAGCATGTGTTAGGCACTGGGTTTGATCCTCAGCACAGTATAAAAATATATAAATAATATAAAAGTATTGTGTCCATCTACAACTAAAAAAATAAAGAATGTTGTGACAATAAAAAAAAAAAAAAAAGGCTGGTTGTCCTAAAAAGAAAGGCACTTCTGTGTTGTTTTGCCCGAGGGCTCTACATATGGTCCTGATGAAGTGAAGAGGTGGAGCTGCAGTCTTCAGAGACCACAGATCATAGCCAGGAATACCGGTCGGAAGACATACTATATGCATAAAACCACCATGTATCTTATTGTTGCCTTTCTAACTAAACTGTATCCTCATCCAGTAGCAGTCTTTTGACCTTTGTGGTTCCTTCAATACAGAGCATTAAAAGTACATAGCACTTCATGCTTGTTAAACTGAATCTTTCAGAAGTATGGAATCTTCTAAAATTAAAGTAGTTATTTTAACAATAATTACTATTGTTATTATTATTGGAATCAGAAACCCTGCTGTATGTAGCAATCAACAAATACCAATGACCCAAGAAAGCTTAATTTCAATATTTCGAGTTCAAGAAAAATACCTTCACAAAAATCAAACTAAAAGCTTAGATATTAAGTAACCTAGCCTAAGTTGTACACTTAACTATAATGCTGGAATCCAAGAGTTAGACTTCTGGGCCACAGATTATTTTTCTACTCTGCTATGTTGCCTGTCATTATATATGCTAAAGCTTTATAATTCCAGTTCATTAGAAAGATAAACTAAAATATCAACAAGGTGAATCAAAGTATTTTAGAAGTTATAACTCTAAAGATATGTTTAGTATGTACAGCAAGCAACAAATGTCCAATCCAATATGACTTACCAAAGAAATAAAACTCAATTGTAGGGGCTAGGATTGTGGCTCAGTGGTAAAGCACTTGCCTAGCACATGTGAGGCACTGGGTCCAATCCTCAGCATCACATAAAAATAAATAAATAAAAGAAAAGTATGTGCACATCTACAACTAAAAAAAAAATTTTTTTAACTCAATTGCAATTGTCCATTTGAATGTAATTAGTGGATCTTCACAAAGTGCTTTCTTTACAAGTTAAATTCATAACTTACAACTCTTTCCAGTAATTTACTTGGTAAATAAGTAGTGAAAAAATTCAGTCAAGATTTGACTCAATTGGGTTGATTGGGTTATGAGCCTTAACCTAATCAGCACATTAATCCACTTGAAGGATTAACTGGATGGTAGAGATAGCTGAAGGAGGTAGATCACTGGAAGCATGCCTTCGGAATATATATTTTGTCCATGGAGAGCAAAGCTTTCTTTCTGGTTCTTTGTTGCCATGTCCTGAACTGCTCTCTTCTAACACACTCTTGAACTGCTCTCTTCTAACACACTCTTCCGCCTTGAAGGTTTATCTCTCCTCAGGCCCAAAGCAATGGAGTTGGCCATCTATTGACTGAGACTTCTGAAACTATGAGCCCCAAATAAACTTTTCCTCCTCTATGCTATTTTTGCCAGATCTTTTGGTCACAGCAGCAAAAAACCTCACTAAAACAAATATATAATTAGGTTAAGCTTAAACTAATATTGAGAATGTACCTTATGTCTAACCATTGTTCTATCTAGGGTATTATAAAGAATAAAGGCAAGTGAAATATAAGCTTTAAGGAAATATAGTTGAAGATATAAAATGTATAAAACTGAGGAGCCAAGCTTAGTGGGGCACACCTATAATGCCAATGACTCAGGAGGTTGAGGCAGGAGATCATAAATTTGGGGCCAGCTTCAATAACTCAGCAAGACCATCTCAAAAAAAGAAAAAAGAAAGAGAGAAAAGATAGAAAGAAGGAAGGAAGGAAGGAAGGAAGGAAGGAAGGAAGGAAGGAAAAAGAAAAGGGCTGGGGGTGGGCTGGGAATGTAGCTAGTGGCAGAGTGCTTGCCTAGGATGCATGAAACCCTAAATTCAATCCCCAGCACCACAAATACAGACAAATAAAAAGGGCTAGGGGTGTAGCTCATGGGAGAACATTCCTGGGTTTAATTCTTGGTACTGCAAAGAAAAAGAGTATAAAACTTAAATGTCAAAGAACAACATGGGGGGACTGGGGTTGTGGCTCAGCGGTAGAGCACTTGCCTTGCACGTGTGAGGCTCTGGGCTCAATTCTCAGCATCACATAAAAATAAACTAACAAAATAAAGGTATTGTGTCCATCTACAACTAAAAAAAAAATTATAAAACAACAATATGGAAGTTAAAATGTCAATATACATATAAAACATAACCATGGTATATATACTAGACTAGGTTTTTCATCTCACTCACCATTTCCTGCCCCCACACTGTTCCAGATCTCATGTCCCATTCAAAAATTATTTTCTCTACCTCTCATCCAGAGGCTACAATATTCACTGCATATAATGACCATTACTGGTCTCATAGTTCACTAATAAAACTTTCAGATTCATTTCCCCTGGGTAATTGCTGATTTTTGAGGCAGATGTCCATCAAGAAGGTGATCTACTTACATGTTCCAGATTTGTTTTCATTACTAATGGCTCATCTCTTTTTTTCTGTTCATCCATTTTCCTTTTCCCTGTTTCTGTGTCCTCTGGTAACAGCTTGTGGATTTGGTCTTCAGAAGTTTTTTCCTCTTGCAACTTTTCTTCTCTCAGCTAAAAAATGCAAATTACACAGACAGTAGTTTTAAGCAATTCTAGACTTAAAAACCTCTTTAGTCAACAGAGTACAAACAGATCACAAGGCAGTTTTAAAGACTGCTTTTCTTCTCAGATATAGCCTTCTTGATTTTCAAAATGTAAATCTGCCTTTACTTGGCTCTTACCAAATATATACTTCATGATTTAAAAGATTTAACTGCTCTGCATTTTTTTTTTCTTTTCTTTTCTTCTTTTGGCAGTGCTGGGGATTAAAATTCAACCTATGGTCTTGTGCTTGCTATACTAGAGCTCTACCATTAAGATATATCCCTAACCCTGCTCTGCATTTTTAAGTAATATGAAACCATAAGAGCTAATCAAAAAATAGCCTCACACAAAAAAGTAAACCTAAAAATTCTCCACACTTCTATAATCCCAGTATAACTATATTGGACAAGAGCAGAAGCAGCCAAAAACCAGAGAAACTGGACTAGATCTCATTAGCGACACCCAAAACATGACTTATTACAGTTCCAGTGTTCTACATTTTATGCTCTTATCCTATGGTTACAGGATACATTGAGATCCATGGTCTAAAATGCATGCTTACAATCCCAGCTACTCAGGAGGTTGAGGCAGGAGGATTGAAAGTTCAAGGCCAGCCTGGGCAACTAAGAGAGAGACCCTGTCTCAAAAATTAAAATTAAAAGGGATGGGGTGTAGCTCAATGGCAGGATGTCCCTGAGTTCAATCTCTAGTGCCAAAAAAGGACACAGGCTCTACAAAGAAATTTAAAGCAAAGGCATATGTTCCTCATTTGGGGGAGATAGCATGGCATTTATGAAAACAGCATGGGTTTTGGAATAAAAATCTGAGTGATATTGAGGCAAATGAATCACCATTTGCTTACTCCAAAGTAGGGATAATGCTTTTTTCTTTGCAGAGCTTGCTGGAAGGAGTAAATGAGATACCATAAAACATAGTATTTAATATAGTTCCTTGCAGTGCATCATGAATCAAGGGCTTCAATAAAATTTAAATGATAATATATATCAAGTCAATTATAGGATATTAATAATTTCAACCATTCTTGCAAAAAAAAATTCTGATAGGCTGTTGCCTCAAGGTTAACAACAACAAAAACACCATAATAATAAATAACAATAGAACCTTAGTTTTATCTTTCCAATTTCTTTCTTTTTTTTCTTTAGGTAAATTTCTTTAGGCCTGATTCCTGTAAGCATGAACTAGTCTTTAAGACACTGAGTCTAATTCAAGAGGTGCAATGGCTCACACTGAAATCCCAGCAACTCCAGAGGCTGAAGTAGGAGGACTGCAAGTTCAAGATGAGCCTTAGCAAATTAGTGAGGCCTTAAGGACTTACTGAGACACTGTCTCAAAATGAAAACATTTTTAAAAAAGAGCTGGGGATATGGATCAGTGGTTAAGTGACTCTGAATTCAATCCCCAGTACAAAAAAAAAAAAAAATTTATGAGTATGCAAAGCACACCATGCACAAATCAAACAAGAACACAAGGGAAAGAAAAATAAAATAAAACCATAGCTGGGGAGAAAACAAAACAAAAGCCTATGTTGCTCACATAAAGGAATCAATGTCTTTTAAGATCTTAGAAGTTCTTGTTCAACAATTTGATCAAATACTACACTAACGGGCATTTTACTTCATAAGATAAGCAGAACAGCACAAAAGAAATTGGGTTTTACCATAATAATTTTATTATTTAATAAACTCTTATGTGTCAAATGCTAAGTTCAGCATGATACGTGTGTGTGTATACACACACACACACACATATTATCTAAGAGTCAGATAATGTGTTCAAATTGATTCACCAATAGGCCCTAGAATTCAACTCTAAATCTGTCTCAATGGCTCTCAACCAAGGATGATTTTTGCCCCCAAGGGAACATTTGTCTGCAGACACTTTTTGTTGTCATTACTGGAGGAGTGGACTACTAGCATCTGGTGGACAGAGGTCAGGGATTGTTGCTAAACATCCTAGATGCACAAGTTAGTCTCCTCCCGCAATAAACAAATGCTATCTTCTAAGTACAAAATTTAGTTTTATACATTTTAGTACGATTTTGTTTAGTGTTTAAGGATGTATATTTTTGCCCCCTAATAATCTGTATTGCTGCTCCAAATTTTTAATAATAGACTTGTTGGCAAAACATAGTTTTCATTGCAACGGAGAATCACTGCTAAGAAATCATCATCTTAACAAAGCTAACAGTTTACAAAAGTGAAAGTCATTCATCCATTTAAATCTTTTTAAAATTTTTTGTAGAGATCATTGGAATTTATTCTTTCGAAAAAAATATATATTTTTAGTTGTAGATGGACATAATACCTTTATTTACTTATTTTTATGTGGTGCTGAGGATCAAACCCAGTGCCTCACATATGCTAGGCAAGCGCTGTATCACTGAGCTACAACTCCAGCCCTCCATTTAAATCTTCACATGAATAATGTTGGTATTTTCTTCTATATGGGTGAGATACTAAGATATGTATTTTTTTGGTTTTGTCCTTTTCTGACTCATAACTCTCATAGTCCTTGTTATTTCCTAAGTAACTAGAATAATGTTGGGGCATTTCAGGCCTCAAGAAATCAAAATCGCTTTTTCTCTGACCTTCTCCTGCCCCCCATACACTCCGCCTGACCCTAAAGAAATTCTCTTGCCTACTTTGTCTAATAGTAGACCACACAAAGACCTCTCCATTTCAGGAGGGGTCCTATCTATACCCAGGAAGGCTACACAGAAATGCCAAGAAGAATGAACAAACAGGCCTCGCTAAGTTTCCCCAGGTAGTATAATAGCATTACATCATACCCTTTTTGCCCACTCACATTTGAACACAATTGTCCATGTTTCAATCATGCTCCACATGAGCATGATTGAAAAAACCAGAAAGTACAGGGTTCAGAGAACTTCTGAATAGCTAAGCACAGGAAGGCTCCTGTGGGATAGGATACCTGAGAGGGCATGGAAGCTCCACATTCCTTTCCACATGATTGGCCCTATGTAATTCTTCATTTTTATATCCTTTGTGATATCCTTTCTGCTTCTTAAATTTTTTTAAGTCATAGATGGACACAATGTCTTTTATTTATTTATTTATTTTAATGTGGTGCCAATGATTGAACCCAGTGCCTCACTCATGCTAGACAAGTGCTCTACCAGTAAGCTGCAACTCCAGCCCCCTATGATATCCTTTCGAATAAACTGATTAACGTAAGTATTTCCGTGAGTCCTGTGAATCACCCTAGCAAAATAATCAAACTATTTTAGGAGGTAGTTTTGGGAACAGCAATTTACAGCTAATCAGTTAGAAGCATAGGCAAACCAACCAGAGGCATCCATGGGGATCGATCCCTGAACATACGGAATCTGACACTATCTCCAAGTAGACTCTGTCAAAATATAAATAAATTAGGGGACACCCAGGTGGTATTCACTGTAGAACTGATTACTTGCTTGGTGACTGGAAAAGCGTCACATGCTTGATGTCAGAAGTGATCTATGCTGTGAGAGTGTAGCAGGAAAAAACAAATCTGAGTTGGAGGTTTGTTTTCACTATATCTTCATAACCCAGTTCTGTAGAAGGTGAGTTTTTTGTTCCTTGGTGGTCATTTATAAGGATATGAGAACTTTGCTAGCCATGGTAGTGTATACCTATAATCCCAGCAGCTCAAGAGGCTGAGGCAGGAGGATGGCAAGTTCAAAGCCAGCCTCAGCAACTTAGCAAGGCCCTAAGCAACTTAGTGAGACCCTGTCTCTAAATTAAATATAAAAAGGGCTGGGGATGTGACTCAATGGTTAAGTGTTCCTCGGATCAATTCCCAGTACAACCCCCCACCCCCAACAAATGATATGAAAACTTGGGCTCTAGGAAAGTATTTTTACACTGAAAACTCCTCAGGGAGGGTCAGAAAGTAGCATAATAAACATGAATAAGAAATATCAATAGCTACTATTTACTGAAATCTTCTCTGTTCCAGGTATTAAGTTTATAAAGCTTATCTCATTTAATCCTTATGGACTGTATTTGTTTTTTTTTTTTTTTTTTTAAAGAAAGAGGGGAGAGAGAGAGAGAGAGAGAGAGAGAGAGAGAGAGAGAGAGAGAGAATTTTTTTTTAATATTTATTTTTCAGTTCTCGGCAGACACAACATCTTTGTTTGTATGTGGTGCTGAGGATAGAACCCGGGCCGCACGCATGGCAGGCGAGTGCGCTACCGCTTGAGCCACATCCCCAGCCCCGAATGGACTGTATTTGTATCTATTTATAATTACCATTTTATAGACCTGAAAAGTTGACTCTGTTATTTCCAAAGTTACAGAGACTGAATACTGAAGAGCTTGGATTTTAAAGTAAACCTCTTGACTTCAGATACTCAACTTCAGAGCTACTGACATTTTGATTTAGGTGATTTCTATGGTGGGACCTGAGCAGTCTGAGAAGGTATTTTATACATTAATACTTTCTTGGGAAGCAGGACTTGATGATGTAGTAGCATAAAAGGGAAAGAGAGAGCCAAAACAAAGTGGCGCAACAGTTGGCTCAGCCGTCAGGGACAATATGAGAAACTGTAGGAAATTCATTACAAGATGTTCAAAAAAAAAAAGATAAGCATAATCATTCAAATTAGCCAAGAGGGCGGAGAGGGCGGAGGGAGAGGGAGTGAGGGGACAAAGCCTTCCAAACCTCAGCAGCTTCCTTTTCCTCCTTCCCCAAGCAGACCCCAGAGCTCCTGAGGCCCTCTCTCCATCTTTGGAACACGCTGGTAATTCACTGATAACAAGAAACTAAGAGGGACCCTGTGAGTAGCCAGTACCGCTCCTTTCTTTTCTGGAGGACGCCTATACCAGAACTGGATCTGTTGGAGCTGGAAGGCCTGGGTCTGTCAGATACACCCACCTACAAGATCAAGGACAGCAGTGTTGGCAAAATGATCTGGCAAGCAACAGGAGTAGAACATGAGAAAAGGG